TTTAATTAAGGTACCGGTAATTCCCGGTAAAGGGAGATAGCAGCAGGAATACAAGAATATGTTTATATGCAGTACCTACGTATTGATAAAGCACTAATATTTACTTGTACCATTCATTTAAATTTCAAAGTACGATTGTTATGTATTGTGTTTTACAGTTTAGCTGTAACAAATTGCAATTAGAAATGCTATTCAAAAATACTTTTTAGACACAAATTTTAACGGATTGGAAATATAGTACCTTAAACCTTAATTTAAAAGACTAGATTTCATTGCCATATGTGAAATATAATTTTAATATCAATCAGTTACACGGTGTCTACGAAAAACTATATTTTAGGCACGAGTTCCTTTAACCCGAAAAGTTCTTAGCCAGTTTTTCTTTGCTGCCATCCAAAAACACCCAATATGTCTCACTTGAGCGCTACAAGGTACATCAACAAGTCGAAGGCGTTTGTGCAGTATTGGTACCAATGTAGCCGCCTAGCCAAATCACGGCATTTGTAGACCTATCTCAAGGCAAGACTATTTGGTAGTAAAAAGGATTTTTTGAGGTTAATTCAGCCATATGTTTGAAATTTACTCCGTAAAACTCAGCTCTAAGGAGCACATATGTGCCTTTGAACACAACAAGAAGCCGTCTAAAGGAGTTCCAGATCCACTTTCGGGCAAGAGCGGTGAAAATACCTATGCCCTTACGTTAATAACATGTCGATGAAGCCATTCCCGAAATCAGCAGCTGAAGTTCTTGGTAAATGCGACGAATATGCTTTTCCATTGATTAACGAATTTCTCGGCATTCTAGCCATACTTCCAGCTAGTAACGCTACTTCAGAAAGACGTTTTTTTTGGATACCACCTTCATGATCACGATATAACGCAGTGGACTTCTGGCACCAATAGATAAGTGGTCTGTAGCAAGAAGCCATGATTGCGTTGTTCAAGATGACAGGAAAACGAGAAACTTCATTGGATTGGAGCTCACAGTCACCTTTTGCGAACCAGATCAAACATGTTTGTCCAACAACAAATCTGAATTTACATGGATAAAAATACGTTCCATAATTCAACTGAATACAACTTACTTAATATGGGGAAATATTTCAAGTCATAACTAGAGCTCGGATATTTATGCAAGTGCATATTTTTGTTTAACATCACAGAAAGTCCACACCTGGGTAGAAACTAATTATAGAAGGAAGTGAGTTAATTTGGTCATAATATTTTGCATATTTTCTTTAAATAAAGTTTTATCAGCACGCCATCCTGATTGCAGCCCTTGCTAACTCCGCACGTGACATATTGACTTCCTTCGAACGAATCCAATTTACCAGTAAAGAATGTACTCTATACCGTAGAGCAGAATTGCACATGCTATCGTAGCTGGCATTGTCAAAAACACCCTCAATGTCTACAAACATGCCCAGGCGAATTCTGGCATTGCTAATTCTGACAACCAGATTTTGCAAAGCCGTCTAAAAGCCGACTCACAAATACGAAGGCGAAACTCTGCTAATCTATCCAAGGCTCTGTGGTTCGTCCTTTGCTTTGGAACATTATGTACGACGGAGTTCTTCGCCTCAAAGTACCCAAGGCGACCGAAGTAATTGGTTTTGCGGATGACATCGCAGTAGTGCTTACAGCGAACCACTTTAGCGAAATTTGCGATAATGGTAGGGCTGCCATATGAACCAACGATTACAGATCACGCAATCCGCCATCGTTATATTTGTAATCGATTTTCAGAAAAAAGTTTTCGTAGCGTTTTTGATGTTTTTTGGTTCTGTTTACATCGTATTCTACCTCCTCGTAGTGATATTTTAGCGATTTTATGCGTTTTCTGCAGCGATTTTAATTATAAATTTTGATTTATTACAAACTTATGATATAATATGAAGTGCTTTTGTCGCTCCCTTCCCTTTCGTTTCGACAAAACTTTATTTTGACAGCCAAAAACAAAAACATAAAAAAATTAGATCATGAGATCATTACAACGTACGCCAACAAAACAAAGCAACTTATCACAACTAAAGCACACAGAATTTTTCACAATGCATGCACCTTTTTTATTCTTTATAAAAATATATTTTATACTAAATACATCACAAAACGTACAAATAAAATTTCTAAACTTTGTGCTAAACTCGGGAAAATTCAATAAATTTGCATACAAATTGCAACTTTCTAAACAGATTTTTATAAAAATTTTGTAAATGAAGTTTTGCAGCCCATTAAATTTTAGTTGATTTTTGATATTGGTTTTACTGAGAGTTTCTTCCATACAAACCATGTTCGACAATTCTTTTTATATGGAAGACACTCTCAGCAAAAAAAAAAATGCTAAAAATCAACGAAATTTTCTAGCAACTTCAGACTTGCACTTTATTAATTGGCTCAAAAGCAACATTTTCAAAAATTTTCTAAAGGATCTGATTAGAAATTGTGATCTGATGAAAGAGGCTCCGAGCCAATAATTTTGTACGGCACTGTTAAGTACTCTAGGTTTCATGAAAGAAAAAACAATTAAGTACAAGATAATATTAAAATGTCAATCATATTTTTCGTTGCTGTGAACTTGTTTCAAAACTTTTGTCTTTTCCTTAATATAATTGTAAAACCCTGTGCACGACATTTTGAACGTATTTAGGTACATATTAATTAATCAGCGCTTTGCACTTACCGATTGCTTTTTCATAATAAAGTTAAAAAAATATTTAAATTCCATGCTGCCTGTAATGGGATTTGAACCCTGACCCTCTGGAAATGAGCAAATTGTAGAAAGCATCTTCACGCACTCAGCTGCAGCCAGACATAGAAATGTGCATTTAAATGTGTGTAATGCATGCGTGGTATAAAAGTATGTTAATACTTAATAAGTTTGTTAAATACGAACATTTTAAAACGATAATCAAATAAAAAATATTTATGTAAACTATGCGTTATTTCCCTCAGTGAATTCGTAAAATTTGTCTGAATATTACAACGCGTTTTTTCTCTTAGTGTAGTGATTTTTTAACTTTTATTCAAGTTTGTGCAATCAAATCGAAAACCGGGACATTTTAAGGTGGACCGGGATGCCTGGACAAATAGTCTAAAACCGGGACATGTGCAGGAAAACCGGGACGTCTGGCAACCCTAGATAAAGGCAATAAATCCATAGAAGCTATACAATCGTGGCTACACAAAAAATTGCCTTAAGCTTGCAGAGCAGAAAACGGAGGCGGTACTCAGCTTTAGCATGGAAAAGTTAGAAGAGGTTACCACACAAGTTCCTAAACATAGCGTCACTACTCTTCCCCATGTTAAGTATGTACCTTGGGATTCGTTCAAAATCCACCCGGATTCTGCCAATAAAAAAAAGCCTCTACAACAGTGGCAGCTTTATCGCGGATAATGCTAAACACGCGCGGGCCAAAGCAGCGTCGACGGCAACTGCTCGCAAGCATGGTAAAGAGCCAATTGCTATACGGGGCGCCTATTTGACACAACGCATCCCAACACTCTTCGTACTTCAGCGGTGTGAGGTCAACGTAGAGATTATGTGCACTTCGAATATGCTGCGCGTCCAAAACAGTCTCCGACGAGGCAGCATTGGTTGTCGATATACTGGCGGAAGAGGCAGTACAATATTTTGGGAGCGAAATTGAACCCTCCGCGGCAAGAGACGCCAGTAGGCAGGCGTGGCAGCAAAGATGGGACAACTGACCAAACGGTCGTTGGACGTACCGCTGCATCCCGGATTTGAAACTCTGGCTTGACAGGACTCACGACGAAGTAGACGAAAACTCCTTCCCGGTGATGCGCCTGGAAATATATGAATGGATTAGTAGCACAGTCACACCATTGGGCTTTCGCTCTGTCTTCAGGAGGCTGGGAAAATTTTAATTCTCCGATACTACGTTCGTTCGTGGTTACTCACCTGCTTCTACTTGTTTCCCTTCTTCTTTAAGCTATCAGTTACACTTTGTACATTCTTGCTTTAAACGCTTAAATATTCTGCGTCCACTTTAAATTTACAAGCTTTTTCTCGTATATTATTTCATTTAATTGGTTGCTTTAATACTTCACTTTTAATTCTCAGCTTCTTTTCACTATTCGAGGTATTTCTTGTGTCACCTGATGTACAAATGGCCGACTATGGGGTTTCCAGCAGGATTTTTACCCTTGCACTGCGGGAGATTATGTATCCCATTGGAAAAATAACGGGCACTGCGCCAATTGGACTGGTTCCGTTATTTTTACAATGGGAATTCGCCGCAGTGCAAAGGAAAATGTCAAAATTTAAATGTAAGGCTGTTCGGGGTTGCCTCCTTGCTTGTGAAATAAGAAACCACAACAACCTCACACCAGCTCGATTCTTTAACTCCAAGTATTACTGGGCTACAGCGCTTATACCGAGCTCTTTGCTCTTCAGTAATATGCTCGCCAACTACCGAAAATCGTACTTTGAGAATGCTGCTCATGGACACAGGGTGAGCTTGATGACATTCATAAGGGCCAAGGGCTTCACCAGAGCACAGCTACTTAAGCCATCCTCCAAGTCCGACGTACGTTCACTCACCAATCAAGAAGGATCAGGAAGGCATTTTGAAGCTGTGGGCAAAGTCAATAATTATAGAATTCGACATCTACTCTTATAATCAATACGGTGCCAACAAGTGGTGAAAGAAGTTTTTGTATATCGTGTTGCCTAATTTCTATCCCTACAGCCTCTCAAAGTTATGCTTATATGAAAAAGTTGTGTAAGTGGGATGAGAAACTCGAAATCAGTTTTTTTCTTCTGCAAATATTCATTGCTAGTACTAGAAAACAAAACAAGTATCGTTGGATTAAAGTTTACCTCTTTCCAGAATCTATAAAAATGCACAAGCGAATTCCGTGAACTTCATTTCACTTCTTTAAAGTTGGCCGATGGTCTTATTTACAGACGTAAGGACTAATTTAATGCAAATGATATAAAAAAGTCTACGTTGCATCAAACTATGCCATACATTTTATTTTTAATATCCACCCCCACCACCGAAAGGACCACTATATCCATATCCATTACCGCTGCTGCCGCTACCGCTACCACCGGGTCCATAGTAACCGTAACCACCATTACCACCGGCTCCGCCATAGGGCCCATTCGGGCCATAGCCACCATATCCATAACCGCCAGGCCCACCACCACCGCCGCCGCCGCCGCCTCCGCCTTCGTATTGTGCGCCACAAAGCAAGTTAGAAGCAAGAAACGTTATTAGGAAGACAATTAGCTTCATTGTGATGAAATTCGCTTTTTCCGAATTAGACGTTCACTTTTATATGCCAACTCTAGAATAAACAGCAGTGAGAATGAAATATTTGTTTGAGCAGGTGCAGTGATGAAAAAGATTATAGCTTTAATACCTAATATTCACTTTTACTCGCATTCAAAACAATGTACATATGTATGCATGTTAGTTGAATCGAGTACTTGCATTTAGTCAGCGTCAAAAATACGGATACCCTAACGTTTTGACGAATTTATTTACTTATATTTTCCATACCAAACTTTTGTTTATTTTTATAAAAAGATAGCTCATTGAACTGCAGAAACTATAGGAATAAATTTTTTTAATTTCATACAGAAATCGGGAAAATTTAAGAAATACGAAGAAGTTTTCATAAAAATTTAAAATTTTTCAATTTCTGTTATGCAGTTCTGTAGATCATTAATTTTAGTATAATAAAGTGCAAGCTTCAAGTCGCTAAAAATTACCGTTGATTTTTGAGAATTTTAGTTTCCAACTAGCTTGCGCAAGTTGGATTTTTTCTTCGAGTGCGGCTTAGGAATAAAAAAAACGGATGCTTTATATTTCAGCGTTTTGGAATGTACCCGATTTTTGACGCTGACTGTATAAAGCGCAAATAAATCCACATGCTTACTTGTACATACGCAAATACGTTTCATCGGTATTGCAATTAATTTTGTATACTAACTAAATTTTGTATACTAAACTAAATTTTTCCTCTCTTAAATCGATTTTGTGGAACGAATGTGATAAAATAGCAAATAAATGCTAAATGTGAATATATGAGTTAGAGTACCTTTTTTAGATTAACTTGATTCGTTCCATTCATTGCTCAGTCCTTTAAATTAATTTTGGAAGCTTAAATTAAAATTGAACTTAAGTGTTATTACCAAGGAACCAAATTCACATATTCTCAACTTCGTCTTACCTCTCTGTAATTCTGTAAAGCAACCTTATTATATGTTAAGCCCTGCAATTATACAGGTGCAGTGCTTTTGTACAATAAACAGTGATTGCACATAGTACATACATGTATAAAATTTTTTTTGGAAAGGTATATATTATATGATTTGAAATAGAGTGACTGGTGTCAATAATTTTCAGACGAGCTCCCAGGTAGCCTCAGACTACGTTATCGATCATAGCTCCACGGATGGACTATCGTTTCAGGAGACTGACGTACCTCTGTCAATGTATACATGATGAGGGCGGATCTTGTTGTTGTTGTTGTAGCGGCTACAACAACCCCGCCCAGATCGGTTGATATCTCAGTCGTTGTCGTCAAGTTCCACTAACGGCAGCCCTAGGAAGCGTGCAGCCTTTATCGGGTCGGTCCACAAGGACAAAGCCGTTAGGGTTGTCGGGTTTTCCGGGCATGCGAAGAGATGTTTCGAGTCATGTGGGGTCTCTCCGCATGCCGGACACTCATTTGGCACATCCTCATTCAATCTACTTAGGTAGGAGTTTAACCTGCTGCAGTAGCCAGAGCGAAGTTGGGCTATTGTCGTTCGTATCTCCCGAGGCAGATGAAGCTCAGTCTCGTCTATGTCTGGTGGTGGTGTGCTTAGAACGGCATTCAAACGGTCTAGAGTCTATATAACTCGAGACTGACTCGCAGTGAATGCCGTTCAGGGCCAGTCGGTGTCGGGTCTGACGGGTCCAGAGGTTGCTTGATGAACCTCTGGACCTCGTCCGTCAGTTCATATAGATGCCTCCTGACGTGCCTAGGCGAGGGCTCCTCTGCAAGCAGCTGTCTGTTCGGGTGGCTACTTCTGTGGGTCCCGATCAGAAACTGCTTGCAGAGCATTATGTTGTGCTTCTTTATGGGAAGCATTTGTACCTCGTTGTGGAGGTGATGTTCGGGCGATATCAGGAGGCATCCTGTCGCTGTCCTGAGTGCGGTGTTCTGTACAGTCTGTAGCTTCGTCCACTGTCACCCGAGTCATTCCGGTACGTAGAACCGGCTGTCGTGGGCGGATCTAGATTGTCCTGCTTGAATTGTATTGGTTTGGATCCAGGTTCATTTCTTTTGTGAACCCTACAAATATTTTTATATCACAATAAAATAAACGATCTAGTCTCCATGGCTTCGGCCTCTTTAGGTGGCTTTAATACCATTTCCTTCACCTCCCATTGGCATTGGACATGGTGGCGGCTTTAGAAGGTTGAGTTGCCATACCACAGGTCATCAAGCTGAAAATGCATATTCCGACACAATTAACGCAACCCGTACATCAAGCTACGACCTATTCGTGAATAAGCTCACTGACCTCTAGTTGCCAAATAATCCCCCGAGGGAATGTGTATGGAAAAAATCGATTTGGAGTCATTCCATAAGCGTCTTGATCGGTGGTATTAGGACCGAGTCGGATTATATCGGTAGCTGCGGCAGTTTTAAATGCTATGTCAATAAGCATTAGGGGTATTCTCGCGGTCTTGCAAAGCACTTGCACGGTTCCCGGATTGCACGGTTTTTAAAGCTGTCGCATACGAAAACCGATTTTTACGGTGCAATTTGATATTCAAGACTCAGAGAATACCCCTACTTCAGCATGGCGCTAGATGCCAGAGTGACAGCACCACTTAAACCAAACAGGTCGCACCGGTGTAAGCCAGCTGCCTAACTAATATAGCTCTCTTTAGCGAATTCCAACAGACAAGCATTCCAAAAAACATAATATATTCAACTATGGCTTCACAGAGTACAGAAATTACACATAACTTCATAAATAGGCTACTGGTGCCTTTCTCACAATTTCCATAATGTTAGATTTATCTTGACCCTCTCAAAGAGATGCTGGCGAGCATCTCCAATCGAGGGCAGAGTTGAGTAGAGGATCTGATACTTTGCAGTGAATAAGACCAATTAGAATTGACGGACAGTTCTCTATTACTATGTTTGACGGCGAGGCCGCTGTTAGACGACCATTTAGTCACTAGATTTAGATAGATTTTGGTAAAGTCCTCTAGAGTGCCCAGAAATCTACCCTCAATCAGACAGCTTATATTCTCCAGCTTCTTCATCAAGCCGTTAGCAAGCACTATCCGAAGCGGGGTGGCTCTGGTATTACTCTAGGCGATAAATATAGCTGTACCACTCAGCCACGATAGCTCTGTCGCAGAGCAAGTTGTAGATGGGCTTTTTATGTTGGTTGTAGCGCCGAACTTTGTCTCCAGCAGAACATTATCAAGACCTCCCTGGATGTAGAGGAAGACCCCCACCTTAAATTCTTCACTTACCTACTTCATAGTTGCATAAAAGGCCATTTCCACTGACCATATAGAATATTCTGCAGTAGATCATTTTTATTTTTCACTTAGGGCCGGTTGCTCAAAGCCTGGTTGACACTAATCCCCGGTTAAACATCGTTGTCGACGTTACCGACACCGTGTTATATGTATGGAGTCGAAAACGTCGATAACGATGTTAACCGGTGATTAGTGTCAACCAGGCTTTGAGCAACCGGCCCTTAGTCTATTCTCCATTTTCATACACACAGGCAAGATTTATACACATTTATAAAAACAACACTATATACATACTTAGATAGAACGTGTTAAAAAACTAACACTCTTCCACCTCAAGAGAGAACATCCATTATATAGTATTTTACAAACATTTCCATTTATAAATGCGCACAAACATACGAACATATGTATGTAGATATGCAAAAAAAAAAAAAAAAAAAAAAAACCTCAGCCACGAAATGTTTCCACGATTTCTTGTCCCTATTGTCTGTGCGCCAATTAGCGCTTGCAATACGAAAACAATCAACCCATATGCCGCCGCAACAGCCCACACGCTCAATATTTGACGGTCAAACAGTGGCTTGATGTTTCACGCTCGACGAAAAAGCTACCTGGCTGGGCCAAGAGTTGTCATACCAAATGCAAATAAATTGAACATACGTAAGGTCACAACTCCTACTTATTACATACATATGTATGTACACTCGCTGTGTACGTGAGCAGGGCGGAGCAATTTGTCGTGATGTCATCAATCTCGCGTGAGAAGCATCGGGAATGACACTAATTACAGACCTTAAAAATTTACGATGCAATTATATACTTTTTTTTTATTTCTATGATAATACTACATATATCTAGATAATACATAGATACTAGACACTGTTGTAGGTACATAGTATACTTTATAATCTAGTGCGATCAGCTAGTAAATAATACATACAATAAAAATGAATCGATGAAATACAATATATGTAACTTTACAATGGTTTTTGTTTTATAAAAACCTCGTAAGCATAGCGATGGGCAGAATGAGCAGCCAGAGTGAATTCATTTGTGTGAACTTCGCATTCGCTGACGATCGGTAACGCTGATCGTAGTAGTCAGGATACCCGCGGGTATTAGGATAGCTACCTGGTGCCACCGGATAGCCGCCAGGCGCACCTGGCATTCCAGGCATGCCTCCGGCACCGCCACTATACGCAAAGCGACGTCCCTGGTCATCTATGCCGCCTACGTAGTAGCCACCATTGCCGCCGGCACCGCCATAGGTATTGCCGCGGCTATCCACACCGCCATAGCCAAATCCGTAATCACTGGTACCAGGCGCTCCCGGCATACCGGGTGCTCCTGGCGAACCCGACGCTCCCGCCCAACCACCAGCCCCACCTCGACCACCTTGCGCTGCAATAAAAAAAAGTTTAGTAAATATATGTACATACATATGTGTATATTGAACGGCGATTTAGTACTTCTTTGCCTTCGGCGTTTCTGAGAAATCACTAATAAGCATTAAAACATTTGCACGGCTGCAGCGACTGTGGCAGTATACAAATTGCTTAACGCCGTTGGCTTATCCAACAAATATGTACGTACATATGGGTCATTCCATACAAAATTTACACCTCAATGTTTTTTTGGTGTGAAATATTTTTTTTACATTCTTTATCATAAAAAAGACTCATATTTTTTATTTCATCATTATATTCGAAAATCTCGAAAAAAAAAATTTCGGAAATTTTCAACTCACAGAGGAGTGAATTTTTTAATTTTTTTGCAGTTCAAAAACTATTCGTTGGAGAAAAACGGGTAAGCAATCAGAATTTGCGTGATTACCTCGGCTTTCCATTAGAGTGTGGGACAGATTAAAAAAAATAATAATTTGAAAAAAAACTAAATTTTTTATGTTTTTTTATCTAATAGTTTTTTTATTAACTATACACCATTTTATTTTTTTAGCAATCTTAATAGTTGTCAAACTTTTGGAGAACAGTGTGAAAATTTGAGAATCGAAAAACTTCATACATAAAGTTTTAGGCGAAGACATGCGCTGCCATTGCTACTTTATGTACGCAGGCATGAAAAACTCGTAACTTCTACGATTTTGGTTTTTTCAATTTCTCAAACTCTTACAGTGTACTCCATAAAGCTTGACAACTATTTAACATACAAAGATCAAACGGTGTATAATTACAAGTAATTTTTAAGCAGAAAACAAATTCGACTTCAATTCTCATATAAAAATTTAAGTTTATCGTTAATTTCTTCACGATCCAATTATCGGATCTAAACAAAATTAGTATAGACCACCCGTGAGGTACCACCTTTCCGATGAAAAAAGAATTATCAAAATCGGTTAACGTGGTCCAAAGTTATGCGGTAACATATATAAAATAAAAATTAAAATATTCCGACGAGCTCCCTTTTTTGAAGTCGGTTAATAAAAAATGGTAAAAAAAATATTAAAACATTACATTTTTGAATGCAAAAAGTTATTTATTTAAATATGTCTCACACTCTAGTGGAAAGCCGAGACAATTACGCACATTTTGATTTTTTAACCGGTTCGCTCCGACAAATAGTTTATTACCTGCAATAAATTTAAAGACGATACTTCTCGGTGAGTTAAAGATTTCGGATTTTTTTTTTTCGATGAAGAATGTAACAAAAATTATTTCACCCAAAAAAGCATTCAGTGGTAGATTGTGTATGGAATGACCCGTATGTAGATAGTCTAAGCCGGTGAACAGCAGTGTCTGTCTACCAATAGTACTTTTTATGCACTGCACATTGCACTTTTATGTAGGCATGCGAGTTTTGTTTGTTTGTGCATTTGTATAACTCACCTGAGCAAAATAAGACGCAATTCAATGCCAATAGAATCACACCCGCCTGTCTGAGCTTTAAACTTGGTTTCATCTTCCCGCTAACACTGACACTAGTCGACTAAACAAACCTGACGCAGCCCAGGCGACTTTTGCTCGCTTTTTACAAGTCGCTGGGCATCAGTCACTCTTTGCAGTTCAGGTGATTCAGTTCGAAACTTCTCTTCCAAACAAATTGTTTCTCTTTTTTCCCAAAGTTTATTTTGTTACTAAAAATGTTTCTGTTTACTTAGTAGATAAATACATGGCATATCTGATTACCGTCTAAATTGCTCGCAATTTGTAGAATCTTTGAGTAGTCACACTTTAGTATATATGTTTATTTACATACATATGTATATATTTACCTGTCAATTTTTATAAACGGACAACTATTTACATACTTATTTACTAAGTATATATGTAAAGTTGGGTGGTCTCTAAAATCAAATTAACGATTTTTTTCAGTCTCACCCCCTCAGTCGGTAATAGCACGGTCACAGATATCACATATAAATTTTGGTCCCGATTGGAGGCGGTTAAGGCGTGTCGCACAGGGGGCAAAGTACATACTACCGTAATCGAATATATCATATATAAGTTTTGGTCCCGATAGGAGTCGGTGAAGGCGTGCCCCAAAGGGATCAAAGGCCGAAAAATTTAAATTATTTAATACCCAAAATCGATACTACTAAAGTGGAGGATATCACATATAAATTTTGGTCCCGATTGGAGTCGGTTAAGACGTTTTCATAGGGTAATCTGAACTTTGACACCTGTGCTTAGGAAATCTGATGTAAAAGTTTGCTTCCTTCATTTAAGGACCACCCTAATGCACATATGTACATACATATCTATTTATGTACTTGACATGAAAGATTTCCACAAAGCTCAATAAGCATTCTTCACACCTTTCGAAACAATTAGAAAGGAAATATAAATACAATAAAACAGTACATATTTAATATCTAAAATTAATTTACTGAATGCATATTTATGTATATATATTAAATAGAAACGTGTGAATGTAAGTTATTACATAGCACATAAATAAGTACTCATAATTATATACATACATAAGTGTACAAATGTATAATATATTTTAGATCAGGTGAAACTTCCATAGCACTTACTTAAGAGCTATTGCAGGGAAAAATCTAACTATATACACTATTGCTGGGCAGTATCGATACGAAAAGTACTCAGAACTCGATTCTCAAAAGGATCGATCCGATACCCGATTTTTAATAGTATCGATACTGGGTACTCCAAGTACTCAGTACTCACAAAAGAACTCGAAAGTACTCAGAACTTAAAAGAACTTGAAAGAGCTCAGTACTCAAAAATACGCATTTCCAATCAACACTTTGACACATCTAACCAAGATAGATTAAAAGAACTCAGTATTAAGTACATAAAATTACTGAGTTCTATTTACTTTTACCTGTATTCGGAAATGATTGTACCCAGTTTCAATTAGCAAAAATTTTCAAGTACAATACATGTACCTACCTCGTACAGATAGCCATTCATTTGACTAAATTGGGAATTAATATATTAATTTGAATAAAGTGATTCTAGCTTGGAAGATTTCTATATGTGCAAATGTGTATATTTGAAGAAAGTGCTCAGTACTCTCAAAAATACCCGATCATTAAAAGTATCGATACCAAAGAACCCGATGCTAAAAAGTACTCAATACTTTCCAACACTAATATACACTACAACCATTGTGTTGAGTGAGCAGAGGCACTCTCCCAGGGGGAGTTCTTTCTCCATTATTATAGAATCTAACCGTTAACGCCCTTTTTTAAGTCTAAAAGGCAATAGTTGTTAGGTCATACATAGCGTCGTAACAACGGCAAACATCTGCAGGTCCTGAGTGAGTTATTACAAAATGCCCTCAGCCTTTCTAATATCAAACCTGAGGAACGTGGACTCAGTGTCAATCCTATCAAGATGGAGATGGTTCTCTTCATAAGGAAATATAAAATTCCTCTATTCAAACCACCAATTAAACGGCACACAGCCGACCTTCTCAACCGGGATCAAGCATATAAAGGAAACTCGACTGGAAGCAAAATATCGAAGACCGCTTCAGGAAGGCCATTACCGCCCTGAACACCTGTAAGACGGGTATAGGCAAAAAATTGGAAATTGTTTATATAAGACCCATACTCTTTTACTAGATTTAGCTGTTTCGGTTCATTGTGCCATTTTCGGCCCTTTCGGAAGCAGCTGGCATCTTAAGCAAAATCGATTGATAGCACATATTTGCCTAACTCAATGCAACTATTTCCTTCGGATCCGCAAGCAGTGCTGCCAACTTGACTCAAACCGTGCTATTTTTGGCTCTATTTTACTTCAAATGGCACTTAATTTTTCAATGTGGCACAAAGTGTCAAAATGGAACTTTTGAAAAATAGTAATACTTCAATACATTTTTGTGAAATCCTTGGCACCTTTTTTGGCACTTTTATTTTTCTATTTGGCACATTTTGGCACTTTTTTATCCTCAATATGGCACTTCTTACCTAAGGATAGTTGGCAGCTCTGCTGGTATCTTATGCGCAAATTGAATTTATAATTACAATTTTAGAAGTTTTTTTTTATATTAACTCAAATATAATTGGTTACTTTTTGCCTTATATTGATTTGGTTTGTGAAGTCCAAGAGAAGAGTTAGTTCTTTTATGATAAAATTATATAAGCATATGTGAAATATATTGAATAAACAATATTTTTGATTTTTTATGGACCAGAAAGTGGTTTTATTATTAAGCTCAAATATATATATATATTACTAAGCTGTTTAAATTTTTTATTTTTTTATTTGTAAAACAACAGCGTTTTACAAGGCTTCGTTGAATCGACGATCATTTGTGCTCTAGGGTTAAATATACAAAGAAATAATTATATATTTGTGTAATGAGATGTTAGAAAAGTTTAATTAACACAAATAATACCAGGTAACTCATCCGAATTACATTTATGTCTCCAAATTTGTGAAATTTTTTAAAAATCGATAATTTGGCACTTGAAAAATAAATATAAATTCATAAATATCTACTTTAATGAAAGAACAATGACAGATGAATTGCACTTTTCGTTGTGAAAGGTGCATTGTTCCCTCAGCCACTTTTACTTATTGAAAGATAACTAAATTTGTATTTACTTATGCATGTATGTATATACGCATGAGTGCGCATGATTAATGTATCGATAATAAGTGGAGTTCTCATATTGAAATGGAAAACAAGCCAATGAAGTTGTTGAAAAAAAAAGGAAACAGAATTTAGCTTTTAAAACAAATCGAATGCATTCTAAGTGCCTGAAACGTTTTTTTTTTGGCTTTGAAAGCGCACGGTTAACAAATAAACGCTTATTTCGATTGTTTAAGTTTTCAGTTATCGCACTGATCCGGCGCAAATAAGTATTCACAAATGATGTTATCAAATATTGCATATTCATTTATATTGTTTGAAAAGAGATGACTACGTCTTGAAAATTAAGTTTCAAATCATTTAAACACACAAAAATGTGAAGTCACCTTCTACGTTATAAGAGACATGCATAGCATGAAATGCGCAAATTTTCTAAATTTAGATAGGTACATCTGTGTTTTGGCATTTGTCTTTTGTTCATTTAATGTTTATTATTTTTTTATAAAAGCCTAGCTGGTTAAACACCATACACATTCAGATTTCAAACATTGTACAAAAAGTATAAATATTCTGCAAATTTTCACCAAAATTTCAAAATTTTTATTCACAATCTTTAGAAAAAATTTTGAGATGCCGTTTTTTAGCCCATTGAATTATAGTATAATGAAGTGCAAATTCAAGTTGGTAAATTTTTCTGGTTGAGTGTTTCCCATTTTTTCCCTACAAAGTATGCGCGACCATTTTCGTTTATATAGGAGCCTGAAAAAAAAAATAAGATCCAAAAATCAACGGGATTTCGTAGCATCTTGAAACTTGCACTCCATTATACTAGAATTAAATTGGCTACAAAACTGCTTAAATATCAAAATTTTTTCAAAAGATTCTGAATAAAAATTTTGAAATTTTTGTGAAATTTTGCAGATTTTTTATAATTTTTGTACAAAGTTTAAAATCAGAATTTATGTGGCTAGGCTTTTATAAAAAATTGATAAACATTAAATAAACAAAAGACAAATAGCCAAAACTAGTCAAAATATTGCACTCCTAATATTTTGTGGACCACTATAAATGTGGACATCCAAATGTATGTATGTAGTATGTATTTTGTACCTTTAGTTCATACACTTCACACTTTTATTTCATACAATCTTGCAGCAGAAATATTTCAAAGTGGATGAAGTAAAGGTGGGCAGGGATATTTATGAAAATACAAGTATGCTTATCTTATTACCGTGCATTTATACATACCATTTTGAGGTGCAAATACGTTTAATTTGCTGAATGACTAGGCAGATAAGTGGTTAGGGAGTACGTATTACTCACCAAATATAATATTTACACACATTTTGAACCGCAGTTGTCCGCCGGCAAAAACAATGACAAAATTGAGAATGAAAATAAAGTAAAGTCAGGTGATAATTACTGCACGCTTTTAGAACATTTGTACATAACATTTGTACACGCACAAAATGTGTGTATATATGTATATATACGTTAGACTGGGTCGCAAAAAAATAGAAAAATTTGACGTTACAAAGATTTCAGTCCGATGCGAAGTGGAAGAACTATTTTCGCTATTCATTTGTTTACCGGTGGGATGCGTAACTATTCTAGAGTAAATAAACAAAACTTCCCTTTCCTTAGTGCTTTCTTCTTAAACCACTGGAATTATTTAAACTATGTATCGTTTACAGATGAATGAGAAACATTCTTTATTAAACTTGGCGGGTGATGTTTAAGTAGATAACTTATGAATATTACGAATGCAACTTCATAAAATCTTCCTTGGAGGTAGTAGTGGAAACTGTGGAATACATATGTGTATGGGAGTATTTTTTGTTGCTAGCAAAATCTTCCGAAAATATGGAAGCTCAACACGTTAAATAAAACTTATATCGCGGAAATTAAACTTGCAGCGTTATTTTCCGAACTTGCGTTGGAAATACTGTGAAACCCGCTTAAG